TGTTAGATAGAATGATCATACATAAGGGACCAATAGCAGTGACGATCCAATCAACTATACCCCAAAATGGATCAAACTCGTAACATGCACCACCACAGATTTCAGTCGTAAAATCAAAAGTGTTCGTACATGGATAGAGGACAACGAAACTGAACGAATATACAAATCCGAAGATGATTAATGTAAATATTGGTATGTAGTGCAATATGATCTTATATCTGGAAGACACAAAGTACAGAGATTCAGTGCAAACTCAATCATGTGACTTACCGATACAGTAATGTATGATGAAAAATGAGCAAGTACCGTTCGACCGAGAGACAAGCGTTGAGATTAGAGGAAGCCACGTTTAATGAGAAATTAAGTGTGATCCAAAATTTGCAGAAAGCATCGGATGCAAATGCTACGTGGCCGTGATAGTAGAAGAAGAGTGTGAAAGGCATCTCACAAGTAACCTACATGTTTCATATTGAATAACACATATTAATTCTAAAAATCTTGATACCTGAACAAATGTGACGAAGAAAACACAGAGAATCAGATGGTTCTTCAGACGAAATCGTAACTCGCGCATTTTTATAGTCCAGTAGATCAGGAAACAGGAACTTGCTGCCCATGGAACGATGAGTACCACCAAAACGACAAAGGAAGTCGTTCGACTTAATTCAACATTGAGTAACAGTGACGGGAGGCTTGTATTCTCATTGTCTGAAGACTGGTTCATGTGTCTACAATATTGGTAATCAGAATGTATTATACTCTTTGCCATAGTTTCATCCTTTCAAATCAAATGATGTTAGACTTTGAAAGTCATTCAATATCATTCGTAGTTATCGTTTCTAATCAATTTTTTGTTGGACTCGAATTTGAAATTTATCATCTCAATTGGTTAAAATAAACGAAAATGCTGACTTTTATAGTCGGAAAAAAGTTTCGAGTGTCATAATGTTAAAGTACTTCTTCGTACAGCTTTATCTGATAACTCATACGTTCAAAAGGACATACGAAGTTGTATGAATCAACGACGATTTCGAACTATTTGTCTTATATTTCGTCGGGTCAAATTTATAGATAAACCCCTCCCCGCAATAGAAGGCCCCCCCGTATTACAAGGCCCCCCCTTATTAGAAGGCCCCCCAAAAAGTTCTGAATGATCGCCTTAATAGAAGGCCCGGGCCTTATATTAAGGCTATGATTCTACTTCGATACCGGCGAACCTGGAAAACACTCACGTAAACTTTGACGCGAGAAGTTCTTTTATACCTCAAAAGCTTTCAAATAGTGTGTATCTGTCCCTGTGAATAGGGGACCGTTCATTTGGCATACAGAGTATCCGCATTTTGGTTCCATTTTTGTCGAAATTCCTACGACTTGGGAAGCTCAGCAAAAAAACAATTTTATCCGCTTAATTATGAACGTCTCGGATAGTCAAAACTGAAGGAATTATGGAAAATAACTGAACATCAAGTTTTGGTAATTTATCAATGTACAAAAATCTTTTTCACGTGAATGGTAAGATTTCGTCATTTTTGCGAAAAAAAAGACTACCTATTGGAAAATTAGACGTCTTTTCGACAATGTATATCATAGATTCCTAATAGAAGGCCCCCCTAAATAGAAGGCCCCCCTAAAAATTTTGTTTGCTCCGCCATTATAGAAGGCCCCGGGCCTTTTAATGCGGGGGGGGGGTTTACTCGATGTTAAGTAATCACGTTGACAGAGATGTACACAGTGTGGGTTGGGGTACAGTATTGTCGACATATCTTCCCAAGTCGACGGGTACGGACTCGGTTAACGATTGCGTTTTCACCAAACACGGTGAAAAATACAATCGTTTTTTTAAATATATGTATTTTGTTTATTCCTTTCTATAATACAACAAGTATATTGACGATCGAATTTATTCGCTATAATGAGATTAATTGATAACATTTAAAAAAATACTTACAATTGATAAATTCCATTAAACTAAATGACATGAAATAAATAACAAGTACTCTACTCTTTACTGAATCTAGAATTAGACAATCTACAATATAAAGCAAAATAATATAAATCTACACTGCCGAATACCTTCTAAATTTATTCAATTAATTAATCTAAAATAAATAAAATAGAATTAAACAAATAATAATAATCTTCTATACGTGAAGCTAATACATCGATACGATGTAAACAACTAAAATTTAATAAATTAAGGAAAAATACTTACTATCCATTGACTGTATTGGATTAAATGATTTAAAATAAATTTAAGTAAATAAATAAAAAAATACTGACTAATTTCTGTACCTGCTATATCAACATCTTGCTTTTGATATATCTGCATATAACTCCTGCCCAGTGTTTTTAATGATTAGTGTACACCAGCAGAGCAAAGTGTACGTACACTCTGTTTTTTTAGAATACACTTTGTTTTCCTATGAAGTACACTCTGAAAATAAAATCTTTGGCTTAGCAAAGTGTATGCGTACACTGTGCTTCGAAATCCTATTAAAAACGCTGCTCCTGCCTTACTCTCTCTATATATTTTAATCTGCATTTCTCCATTCTAGGTCGAGTCCTATGCCAGAACTTTTAATTATAAGATTTTTCTATATATTTATAATTTCTTTCTACTATCTTTTACTAATGTCAATACGACGCGATACTTATCTTTGCAGTTTACTTTCATCCACATATATTTGAAAAGCTTTCAAATCTGAAGTCTACATTAGCGTGAAGCAATATCATACTAACAGTTGCAGACGGACTGTTGCAGTTAAGTGATGTGTGTAAATAATACATACATGGATGTTTTATTTTCTTCATGGCTTGATCCAATCATGCTCACCTACTTCTACTACAAATTTTCAAAATTACACAAATAGTAACCGTATGCACACATTGTATCCAGACTCTGTGCATGATCTTCGCCTTTATCGCTTCCTTAAGGATTACGTCGACTTCTATACTGTTTCTGTCTCGATTTGTAGATCTATGTCAGAAGTTGATTTATAAAATGAAAGTTTCATCTTAATCTAGTTCAATGTTCATCAAATTTCGAAGAAAATTCTCTAGAAGTCTTCTAATATGAAAAATAATTTATAACAATAAATTGCTAAACATATTTTAGTTTATAAATATAAAAAGTTATTAACAATGATTTGTACATAGCATAAGTGAATATTATAGGTTTCAATAGATCTTATTTGTTAGATTTCTTTCTTTTCTCGGTAAGTGATCAATTATACCTAATAAACTAGCATAGGATGTCGTTATCCAAAAATGCCTCCAAACAATAACCCATGTTTTCGAAATCACTAAAAAGCTGACGATTAATTTCATTCTATTGAAACGATAATCGTGAGATAGAACACGATAAACCGGCGATTTTTTTCGGTGATTCTACCGGTATTTGAAAAAGTCATGGGTTTGTGAACGATTATAGACGATGTTTTTGGTGATGTAACTTGGATTTCTACTGTTGAGAAAATAAAAAAATATATTAAAAAAGCCTTCATACATACCAACTGAGATTTTCCATTGAGTGTTTTCTCTGAAATGCATTTACACATAGTCATTTTAGTTAATAAATTAATTATCTAAAAGGATGACGATAGAAAATGTCATCTTAAAGAAGAAAGACAAGTATTTCAATTTTACATTAATCTCGAATTGAATCACTCATCTAAAATTGAATGTATAATGGAAAAATTTTAATTAAAAAATTACTTCATCTGAATGCAGCTTACACTTGAAGAAATCTTTCCTGACTTTCAGTTTACAAAATCATTGCGACATAAACTGTCAAACTTATCTGTATATGTCTAGATAGAAATAAAGAAAACTTGCGACAAACTATTGTAAAGGTGCTTCGCACCTCAATTATCTATATTGTCAAAAATATCTGTTAAGATAAATCCTAGGGGCTTAGAAAATCAAAAAAATTTCATTTCGGATGAAGAAGCGGACATTTTCTTCTATTTTATTTCATGCATTTGAAATGCATCAATTTTTATACCCGTTTCATCGTCTGACATGCCATGTTTTCGTGTTTTTGACATAAACTGCAGGAAAGTTTCGATTTTCTTTTATTTTTCAAGCTTACGAAATGAAGATGAAGTTAATGTCATAGGAGTGACATCCATACCAAAATTGAATCTCTATCATTATAGTTAGCAAGTATATAAAAATTAGGGGTGTGGGTGTGGTAAAAGAGAAATAACACCCACACCCACATCCCACACCCACACCCACACCCACATCCACACCCACACCCGCACCCCACATCCTCACCCACACCCCACACCCACACCCACACACCCCACGATGGACCTATTGTTACTAATTAAATGAAAATCCTTTTGTTCCATTTCCTTACGACACATTTGTAGCTGACCGCATATCTGATACTTTACAACTACAGTTTCTCTGTCACGGTCTGTCATGCGTACCCGGGTTCTCTGTCACGATCTGTGATGCGTACCCGGGTTCTCTGGCACGATCTGTGATGGGTACCCAGGGTTCTCTGTCATGGTCTGTGATGCGTACCCGGGTTCTCTGTCACGATCTGTGATGGGTACCCAGGGTTCTCTGTCACGGTCTGTGATGGGTACCCAGGGTTCTCTGTCACGGCCTGTGATGGATATGGATTTTCTCTGTCACGGTCTGGGGGGGGGGGGGGGGGGGGGGTGCAAAATTTCTACCCTATACACTTCAACAGTCCTTTTAGGTCGTGTTTCACAAAAAGATAATAAATTTCAATATTCAAAGCCCTTCGCTGTAGATGTGTGTGTTAGTGTAAGCCATCCTTACTCACCCTCACACGTCACGTGCTGGGGTGACCTTCCACATGTGGTAAGGTGATTAAATACTGGTTAGAACCTCGATCTATTTGAAGACGGCAATAATTTATTAAGCAAGTAAACAATCACAAGATAATCAACTCTTTTTTTTATTTGTTGAATGACATTCTATTTGTTCAACTCTTGATACAGATCAGAATAACGGTTACGGAGATGGAAGCTAATGATACGGAATTAATTGGTGATAACCTGTTGAATGGTGGATGGCTTCGTACTTCTGCCCATTTCGTATGTAGTACCAATATTCATTGCTAAATAAACCATAGAAGGCATGATCTTCTATCCATGTAATCGTATAACTTTTTCCTGAATGTATCATATAAGTTGGCTGGATGTTGACAATCCCATTGTTATGAGACTGAGTGAAAACACCTAAAAGTTTCCCACGCGGCTTGACACAGATTGTGGTGGTGGCGGTGGCGGTGGTGGTAGCGGTAGTAGTGGTGGTGGTGGTGGTGGTGGTGGTGGTGGTGGTGGTGGTGGTGGTGGTGGTGATGGGAGTGGTGGTGATGATGGTGGTGGTGATGGGAGTGGTGGTCTCGACTGTTGATGTATATTGAACTTGTAAGAGAATAAAGGAAAATAGAAAAGATTATGGTAGAAAGTAAATCAGATAGTCGAAGCAAGCTTGAAGCTTTATGTTTGGCGGAAACGTGAATACACCTATCGCACAACACGTAATAAATGATACAATAACAATTTTAAAACTTAAAATAGTATGAATTCTGCATTTTTCAAGGTACTTCGAAGTCTCAGTCTCAAGATGTTCGACACAGGATATATCAGATTAGAAGCGCATTAGCAACAAATGAATTCTGGGACACTTGGCTCCTACTCTACTTTCTCTAATGCCATGCAGAACTCGTAGGACAATGTTGACTCGTCATGTCACTCTCCGAAATAGGTCAATTTAACTTAAAAAGAAAGTAGGAAAATACGGTGAGAAATCCTAGCAATAATTATGAAATTTGAATATTATTCGTTGTGATTTGCCCTATGTTCATTAGTCTTCTTTTCACACAGATTACACTATTCTAATACCCATTTGAATTTATGCTTCATTCATTTGATTCGATGAAGTTATAATGCCAAAACTACAGTATTGTATAGAAATCCCATTACAATTGCTATGTTCAATGTAAAAACCTTTCGCCACTATTCCACATCAATATTGACTATTTGCTCCATAAATTCCAGCACAAGTGCTCACATTCTAACAACTAATCACATCTATTTCAAGTGTCACGCATTTCTAATAAAGAAAATAATTGGTTTGTGAAGAATCTCTCTCTGATCATTATGATTATTGATCGAAAGTCATATATCTTGTGGATATGTTGATTCCATAGAAGAGTTTCGAGTCTCTGTTCGACAATCGTACTGGTTCTGTAATTACATGGAAACTGACGGAGAAAATCATTATTCAATGAGGAAAGTATATTCTTAAGTGGATGAATATTTATATCACCCGGTACATATGGTTAGGCATATGGTGTATTAGTGTCAGTTTCGACGTGACTATGGGGATGAATGTAAAGAAATCTTTTATATACACCTATTCGCACACATTATCTGTACCACCAAAACTTTCAGTCAAACTTATCCATTCACTAACTATTCGATGCAATGCTGAAATGCATGGCCAATTCATTGATAACGACGATATTGGTTTATATCAATAGAGAAGGCCACTTAAACCAGGAATATTGACAATTATTTATAAATAGCTTGCTCATGTAGAATTTGTTCTTATATGCTTCTTAGAAGAAGTAACTTTACATTGACACAATCATCATAGTTCCCTATTGTACTTTCTATGTCGGACACAATATCAGCTCAAACCATTACAGGTTCGGTATGCGACAATAGGAAAATAAGTAGTTGTCTTTTCTATGCTTGCTTTTAAAAGCAATCATTCTTTTCCACAATTTCCTTTATATCTCAGGTAAGAAACATTATCCATTCTTAGTTTTGATAATATCTCGTAATTTGAGAAATTGTCTAAAAGAATTATATCATTTCTGAACTTTTAAATATCTGTATTCAGATTCTTATCTAAAGCGACACTTTTAGATGGCAGAATGGACACTTCAGAGAAAGTTAGTTTCTACAGATATATACTTTTTGTTTTCGATCTGGCTCAACTATCTATAAAATGGTGTCTTAATAAATGATGATAATTTTGATACCAACTTTGACAACTCAGCTTGAGTGTATAACAATATCTTCCTATATGCATGCAAAACACTATATACTTAGAAATAAAGTATTGACGCATTCTAAACTAGATTCTTCCAACCACAATCGAACTATTGTTCCAGATCGGGACCTCTATTTATTGTCATTATTAATACTCACTTTTTTCTTACTCGTATCAGTAAAAATGATAATAATTTCTCCTCGTCCATAGGAGAGCCTGAGATTACATCTACTCATTCACAACTACGTATTCGTTTTTTCAAACATGGATCCGCCACTTTCCATTGGTCGGCTCCGTCAAAATTAATTGGCTTTGACACCTGATTTGAAGAAAATCAGAAACAGACGGAGAGTTAAGGTTAACTGAAGATAGTACACCTTGAATACTTTCTAAAACGTTGTATTGAGCTTTGCTCGGAAAAATTTAAGAGAGGACCCACCACAAAAATGCTTCCGATCGCCAGGAAAAATTTCTTAACTTTCGATTTTGAGGACTCAAATGGAAGCTGGAATTCAAACGTAGTCAAATCAAAAAAATTAGAATATTGTGTTAACTCTAAAACAAAAGCTTGTTAGCGCAGCCCCTTTGGGGCTGAAATGTGGAACTCACATATCTCCTTTGATTTCATTATACTAATGACAAAATACTCAATATTTAAAATCTTCAAAAGAGAACAGTTCTTTTCTAAAGATCATCGATTATTAGAAAATGCTATATTTTTATCTCTCAATTTCGAACAGAATTGTTTTTCACGAAGTTGCCAAAGTCTGTAATGGTAGCCTACATTGCGTTGGTCTGTAATGAGGGGTATGTCTGTAATTGGGGACTGTCTGTAATGGGGGATTGTCTGTAATGGGGGGAATGTCTGTAATGTTTTC